GTGTTTTGCACTCAGTTTGGGAATAATGTTGATAACACAGTGATGTTGTAGTTGTTGCCAAGTCGTGCTTACTCAAGGACTTTTCAGTTTACCTTGTTTTCCAGAGAGGAGATGCACAAGAAGCCAGGAAGAAGCATGGCCAGGACAGTTGGCCCAAACTAGCCAAAGGCATATTCCATGCCATAGAGCATCCTGCCCAGTATGTCAACTGGAGGAAGTTTAATGGGAACCACCAATCACTCAGGAAGGGGTTGGCATCAGTCAGTGAGTGGTGAGCAGCTGTACTGGTCACCACTTGCCTTTCTAGGGGTTTATTTTTCTCTGTCTTTTTGTTGTCTCAATTTTTATTACAGTTATTTTTTAATTATTTTATTTTATTTCAATTATTAAACTGTTCTTATCTCAACATACATGTTTTACCTTTTTTTTTTCTGATTTTCCTCTCTATCCCACTGGGATAGCTGAGGGTGGTGAGCAAGCTGGCTAGTTTCTGGCTGGAATTAAACTATGACAGCTGGCAATATTTTTGGTTTTGTGTTCTTTCAGTATTTCTCAGGACACCCTTTTCAAATTATTTTCTAACTGTGAACACCCCAGTTTACTCTGTTTCCTTTTCTCACTCTGGAAAGCTGTGATGTTCTTTATGCTCACCATTAAGGTAAAGGATGTGCAAGTAATAACCTTTGCTATTTTGATGTCCCTCCTAGCAAAACAGGATTTTATATCATGGATTTCAGGGTGGCAACCCTTGTTTCCAAAAATTGAGACACAGCGGGAACATCTGTGTTTGCCACCTGCACGACATTTCCTTCTAGGATCCTGGGGTTGGTTATGGGGCTTCCAGACATTCCTACTGCCTGTTCCCCATGGTACATAGCAAGGAGACAACAGGTTTGCAACTATAACACTGATGCATGTAATTCTAAACTCTTTAGCACATCCTGCTGTCACTGGAACAGTCTGCTCAGGTTTGTTTGAACACTCACCAGCATCTCTTTCAGTTGTGTCCAGCCACTCATCCCTGCATTCCTTTCTAGGCAGCCTGCTTTTTGCTGTTAACAGCAAGGTGTTGACCCTGGCAAAGCAGCCAGGTATTGTGGAAAAGAGCCTTCCCCATTACTGGCCACCCTTTATATCCTTGGAGAGGAAAGGATTGTTTCTGTTTCTTTTTTTTTTTTTTTTCCTTTGCAGAACTGATTTATTTCTGAACATAGCAGTATTTATTGCTTACTTTCCTAACTTCTCCTCTTAATCCTGCAACTGCCATTAGATAAAATAATGAACCGAGTTACTTACTCATAAAGGCAATGTAAATATTTGTTCTTCGTTGTATTCCAGTAAAATAATGTTGTCATGGATTATTGGCAGTAAATTATTTTAAGTTATATATTTAAAAGTAAACAAAGCTATATACATGAAACTATCTTGGAACATTTTTCATCTAGCATCTTATTTTTTGCTTTTATCATTGTTGCTATGAGATCTGAAATCTTAATGCTCATATTTTGATTTCCAGAGTCATCTTATTTCATTTCTATTGCAAATGCATTCTACTCAGAAATCATAAACAGTTTTCTACATTTTCTGCTCCCCTTCCCATCTTCCAATTCAGGCCCAATTCTGATAATATCATTTACATGTTGTCACTAATAGTGGTCCACTGAGTGTATTACAATTCTCTTGTTTGGGTTCTGCATTTTACGTTTGGCTCTTGAAACGTAGCTGGGGAGGAAGAAGGGCATACAGTCTCAAATAAACCTCTTTTTTCCAAATTTGTAGAAACTATTTGCTACTCCAAGAGAAAATAAAGGAAAGATGGATGCCCTTTAATTTCCAGTGTGCTGTTTATCTCAAAAGCAGATTTTCTATTTGATAAAAATATTGTGAGGCATTACTCCCAAGTACCAACTAGACCCTATGCACATATAAAGTGAACTAAGACATTTTGAGTGTATATTCATATTTTTTTCATAAAACTCCCCATTACATATTTTAACATGTGAACCTGCCCCAATAGATGGCAGCACTTTTCCTCAGCCACAGTGATCTCACAAATTCCTAGTCCACTTTCTTTATATAGAGTGCATTTGTGAAATAGGCTGTAATAGATCCTTCAAGGATGCTTCATAAACAATTCTTTTCTTTTTGAATGGGCAGACACAAACATAAGCAAATGGCAAAATCTTGAACGGCTTGAATTATTAGAAATGAGTGACCGTAATCTACCCAGTGCTGATACGCTTTTCCTCTTTAAAATAAAATAAACTCCATAACTTACAAACATGTCATTTCTTTCTTATTCTGAGAATTCTCAGTAAATTTTCCTGATATCACAGGTCTCCAGGACTTTGCTCTTCACACTGCTTAACTTTCATGAGCCTCCAGCAATACACCGGTGCTATCAGAAAGTCGAAACCTCTGAGAGGTGTTTTTCAATAGGTTTTTTTTTTTTTTTAGGATTTTTTAAGATGTCAAGTCTGTAAATATGGTGCAAAATCTGAAGCACAAAATGCAAGAAGTTTCTACTCCCTCTCAGCGTGTTTGGGTTTTGAGTAATGGTTCATGCTATGTGTTGCAGTTCTTAAGAGAAGACATTTAGAGTTATTTAAAACTTGACTATCTATGGAGATGTTTCTAAATACATTTCAGGCTATTAGAATGCAGAGCCATTGCCTCTGTAGGAGGAGCACTGAATGGTCTAGCACTCTGATGACTAAAGAGAAACTCTTAGCAACCTAAATTTAGGCACCTCATTTTAAAAACTTTGGCCCAGATATGTGAACCCAGAAGAATGAGTTACAATAATTCATCTCAAATTCCCTGGCTCTTTCAGCTTCCCAGACTTAGCATTTATTCATACAAATTGCTCACTGTTGCAGATAAATCACAAAATGTAGCCAGTGCAATAACTCTGCACCTGAGCATTATTTAATTCTGTGTTGCAAATGCTGGCAGTACTTTACTTTTTCTCTATATGTTACCGCACCTGGCTATTTTGACTTTGTCTGAACATTTTTGGGGGTGAATAGGGAGAAAATGTACAAGGTTTTGCCCTCCTGTTCATCACTGCTACTTTTCCTAAGAGCTGCTATTCCTCAATTGGGTGGTCAGTTTAATCTTCCTGCCAGCTTAAAATAAATGCAAAGGAGACAATTACCAAGGGGGACAATTTTTCAGTGCATGCTTAGGAGAGGATTATTTTATCAGAAGTGTTGTCTCTAGTGGTTCTCATCTGCTTTGACACCAGTTTTCATTATTTTCCCATGATGCTGTTTATGATGATGAAGAGAATTACTGTGCTCTGTCTGTGTTGATTTTTCTCTTTCCATGAGTTTGTGGTTTCTCTTTTGGGATTTTTGTTTCTTTAAAGGAGTACTTCACCTGGTGGACATGAGAAATAGATGGAGATATGTGTGTTGGGTACAATTTTTCTTATGTTTGTGTGGGTTATGCAAATGAGGAAAACTTTAAAACACATTTATTTAGGCAAGTAATCTATACCTTTTTTTTTTTTAAGCACAGTATAAATTAAAATTATTGTTAAAAATGTTGGTGTTAGCTGCTTAGTGAAGTTTTGCTTTGTTTGGTTTTTTTGGGGGATCAGGTAACAGTACTCCCTGTATTAAGGATGGATCTCTTGTCATTTCACTGCAACCTTAGAAGTTGTGGGCGTTTATTCTAAGCCAGTCATCTGTAGTCAGTGTCATCAGCGAAGGTGATTCATCCCATCTGATGCTAAATGTCTGAGAGGCTTATTATGCAAATCTGTTCTGAAGAGGAAGGTGGTTGATGATGTTCCTGCTCTGCCCAGTGCCACAGTCTACAGAGTGTCTCTGTATCAGTGCAATTGTTTTTGAACAGAGTTCAGAAATTATCCAGGTTAAGAAACGGTAACTGGAAGTATTTTGTTGATCTGTATTTGGTTTTTTAACCATGTTAATATCTGTTCAATAAATGGGGTCATACTGGCAGAGAAGAAGGAAGTGGTTGAAGGCAGGAACATTCAAAACTTTGTGTAATGAACCGCCTTCTGAAATACGTGTGTGCACTGGGACTGTCCTGTTTCATTAGGTGAGATGAACACACAACAGTAATTGTTTAACCATGTATTAAGCAGGACATTAACAATATCACTAGCAGTGTACTGTACACCTCTTGGTGCTTGCTATTGCTTTATTAGACTGTTGAGTATCTTCAAGTGAGTTTATCTATGTCAAACAAAGGGAATAGTTAAGAACTTGTATGTATGTTGCCAAATCTTTCCACTGAGGTCCTCAGTACTAGTATTGCTGTTTGTGATAGCAATCTTCCCCAGTTTTGCCTTCCTAGTGAACCATGAGGGTTACTTCTATATGGATAAATATGCTAACTGCTGAGGTGGGTTCTTTCTTTACAATATGTAGTGATTGTCCAAGTCCATACCAGGAAGCCAGAAAATGTGACCATGCAAACCATAACTACACCTTGGGTTATTGTGCAAATATGAAGAGAGGATGACTTGTGTGAACTTCACTTGGGTGTCTCAGAGTGGTGTTTTCCATGAAGTAGGTTAACCAACTGTTAAACTACCAGAGTTGCAGTGAGGCAGAGGCAGAGTGTTTTGGGAAGCACATTGAAAAGAAACTCAATCTAGTAGGATGCATTAGATATATCATACAAAAGCATAAACTCATGAACTGCATGTTTGGTGTGCACTTGTTCATCACAGAAGCCCTTATGCTGATGTACCACCCTGCTCCAGTGTGCTTTTGTGGTACATATACCTGATCAGGGTACTTTGGTTTAGGAACTGAAGTCAGGGAGAGGTGAATACCACCTATAAGAGACTGTCCCATGAAGCAGCAGAGGAAGAGATGACAAGAACTATACTGAAACAATGTCAATAACAATTAAAACAATCAAAATGAGCTTTATAGTACATTTTTATATAAGTTTTTTTCTGGAATATATTTCACATGTTTTATTTATTTTTATTATTATGTTTCTTTTTATTTTTGTAGGCTGTGGAAACCAACCTTGCATCAAAGGATAGTCACTGGGTCTATGTAAATGAGGTAAGAAAGTCAAAAGAGAAAATAGTTTGCTACATTGACTCATCACCATTTTTTGTTTCATATGTTTTGACACACCGAGACTGAGAATATACTTAACTGTACTGAGCATATACTTAACATTTTTGCTTTTTGAATGGCACAAGATGCAAACTCTGCAGTGTCATTGCTTGCCTGTCTTAGTTGAACTGGCATAGGTCCAACACCCGAGGTCAAGATAAAGCTTCCAATACACCTCATAGCAGCTGGGAGACTTTATTTTTACCTGCATGCTGATGCTATTTCATTAGCAATTTAGGAAGCAGAGAATATCTCAAAAGAAATGTCAAATATAGGCATCTCTATCTGCCAGAAGCTCACCCTTCACTGCTATGAAAGCCCTCACGCAGGTGCCAGGACAGGAAAGAGCGCTGAGGTGGTTGTGAGCTTAGCTCATTCAAATTTACATGATACACAGGTTTTCTCTAGCGCAGAACTGTGTTGGTGAATTGGCCAAGATCCAGAATAGCATAGATTCAAAATTTGATGTTTCCTCTCTGCAGCAGACGGTGTCCTGTCCTGCTACCGTGATTATTTATTTTACCTTAGTACCATTATGTCCCAATGGGAATCCATTCAGATTTGAATTTACAAAGTGATGAAATGTTGTATCATATATAATAATTTATAAATCACTGATAAATTGCAGTTTTTTATACATTTGTGGTTTTAATAATGATTCATTAAAAGATAGCATAATATCTAAGTTAAAAAGAACAGTGTTCATTGTCTTATTTTTATACTATAAATACATAGCCTTTAATTTAATAATGAATTCCTTGGTTAATTTCTCATTCCTTTCTTTGCACCTAGTTAATAATTTTGGATAGGCAAGTTTTAATAATACCTATAAATTGTACTGTGTGGCATTAGAAAGGCTCTGTAATTAAATAGGGGTTAGGGAAAGCTAGTGAAATCCCAGCTTGTGAAGGCTTTATAAATTCTTTCTGATCCTTGTTACATTTAAGTACCTCCTGGCTTGTCAGCTGCAGTAATGACCCACTACAAAACCTCAGCAAGATGCCCAGAGAGTCAGTGTTTATATCCACATAAAGATAATACAGTGCATATTTCCCTAAACATTTATAGAGAGGGAGCGTTTGTGAATTTTTTATTGTTGTGTTATTGTTCAGATGTTAAAACTCACTTCATGAGGCCTGAATCTGGAACATCACAATAAAAGCCTTCAGCACTCATGCACTAACATGTGCATGCATACACATGCATGAACACATCACGCAGGGTGTCAATTCTGCTTCTATTTTTGGAGCTTTTTTATTTTTTCTCTTTTATGGCTAAAGACTGGATAGGGAAGCCATGATAGCAACATGTAAATCTAAAGTATAACTTTCTGGTGAAAAATATTGGTACTCATAATTATAAATATCATAAAATGAAATTAAATTCTAACAGACAATTACAGAAGCTTTTTAGACTCATGAAACTTTGGAGAACTCTTTGCAGGCAAAAATCTCTTAACTGTCCTCTTTAACAGAAGAGTGTTGGTCTTTGTGTGTGTGCTTAGAGCTACTATGAAAAGATGGTATATTAAGCATCCACATGAATGCATCTAAAGACAGATGGAGATTCCTTATGGCTTGCTTCTTATTTAAGTGTGCATGTGAATACCCCCATGCTAGTAAGAAGACAGACTGATCATCATGATCACCATGTACAAGTTTCCAGTTGGTAGTAGTGAGAACTGCAGGAGTACTTGATGGAAAATATAATGCTGATTGTTGCTGTGATTTGAAGAGTGGAATGAAGTTTTAATTCCCAACAATCAGCTCTTCTCAGTCAAATCAGATCTTTTTGATGTAATTCTGCAAGTGTAGCAGTCCATTATGTAAATGTACCAAAAACTCAGCTAGGCCTTTATTTCTCCCAGGTAGATCGAAAATCCCACCCTTCCCTGTTCACCCTCTGTTCTGTGTGACCTAATGATCCCATTGCAAGGAGAGAGAGATGTAGGGCTGAAGAATTTAAGGGCCTTGAACAGCTTAGATTGCTGAGGTCTATTGGTCTGGAACACCTTTTGTCTGCCCTATCTCTCACCTTTTGTCAAGCCAATGAGGTTCTGAAACTTGGACTTACCTTGCTTTAGTAAGAATGACTACAGAGCATGCTATTATTTCAATAAGAGATCTTTTTTTATTGGTTTACTTCACTTAAATCTAGTTTACTATCCCTCTACTGATAATTTTTGGTTTTTTTTAACTTGTGCACCTTCTCATACAGTAAGACAGGAGTTAGGTTTTGGAGTTAGACTTAAATTTTGTTAGGTGAGCAACACTGCCCAGCTTGGGATGAGATAACTTAAATCTCTATGGCTGGTAAGCTTATTGCCCAGCAAATGAACCAATGTGGAATGTAAGAGTTGTTCCCAAATTACAGAGCTGTACTGTCAAAATCCTGTTTGGTAGCTTTTAAATAACCCAGGTCTCTGTGCTGGGGTATCTGTTCAGTTTGGGTGCCACTGCTGGTGCAAAAGGACTCTGCCATCTCAGTGAATTGAGAGTTGAATTTATTGCATAGGGTTGGAAGGCTGAAACAGTACATGGCAAGATTTCTAGGATAAGATAATACACAGAGATGGGTCTTAGCAGGCAATGTCATGTCCTCATACATCCTCTTTGAAGCCAAGTCATAAAAACCTTACTGCTTTAAAAATATATACTTATAAGTGTGTCTACTTTTCTGATTTCAGACAGTGTTATGTTTCAAACTTGCAGAACTATCAAAAGTACTGGAGATTAGAGGGGGAAAAATCTTTTTCTAACTACCCATCCCCTTTTAGATTTATATTTCATCATCTGCACTTTTTTTTAATTCATCTGGAAATACTGAATCATCCCTTGCATTCATTTAGGTAGCAATTCTACCTGAATTCTGGGTTAAACATGCTGAGTAGCTTTTTAAGAGCAAGAATATTTGTGATTTCTGTAGAAAGGCAGGCAAAAGCAAACAACTCTTCCAAACAATGACATGCTTAGCTGTGTCTCCAGATTAGTCCAAAACATTTTGTTACCTGTGTTGGGAGTTGCCAATGACTAGTAGTTTGGACCCTACTGAAGATCTGCTAGAACATATCTAGTGTTCTGCTTGTGCTTTTTTTGTTTGTGCTTTTAATTGTTGAAGTGACCCATCAGCTTTGATAGATGTGTGTTGCTGCTTCTTTTGGCATGACTGGCATAATTGTAGACAACCCCTGTTTTTTTGCTGTTTATTTCCTGTCTTTTTTTTTCTAGTTTCCCTTCCTATTTTTATTTTTCTCTTTTCTTTCTCTTTCATACCTGACATCAAGCATCTCTGTTCCTTGTGACATTTTTCATTCTCTCCTTCTCTTTTTCTGCCTTTTCCAAGAAAATGCTGTGCCTTCCCCAGAGCACGTATCTGTGGGAGAGGCACAAGAGCACTACTTGAAACTGAGTTTCTATGTGGTTGTACCAGGAGCAGTGCTCTGGGAGCCTGTGTCTGCTTCTTTATTAGAAACAGCAGTAGGTCTGGGAGGATAAATAGCACTAGAAACCATCTTTCTCTCTGGGACATTTAATGGGTTTGAAATTTTCTTCATTCCAAGGATAGAGAAAAGATAAAATATACTATTCTGCAAAACTGCAATATGGACCAAAACAAGTAATCAAATTTAAAATGGTATTTTATCCCCTCATATTAATATATTTAATTCTAATTCCAGTTTTCTAAAGGCTCATTATTTTTACATGTAAATCAGTATGAAAAGCAATGAACTACTCTTCATGGAAGAGAAATGGGTACTGAATTTGACTGATAGTTCAGTTGAGAGTTGTTTTACTGTTATCTCATCCGTCCTTTAATTTCTTTTTCAACAAACTTCCACCACTATTCAGAAGTTTAATTGAAAGCTGTAAGACATGGCAAGACAAAGCACAAGACTACTGATTATACAGGAGATTATTTTTCATGAAAGACTAGTAGGGATGAAGAGAGGGCAACATAATGTTACATGCCCAAACCATGTGAACTCAGGGAGAGCTGAGGGACAAACCTTGTTCAAAAGCTGCCTGGAAATATGCAAAAGAAAGAGAAAGACTGAGAAAGACTTTTTTTTTTTTTTTAAGTGCCTTTTTCTTTTTTTTTTTCTTTTAAAGAAACGCCCCAGAGAAAAGAAATTAAAATAAACGAAGATTTTAATTTTCCTGGCAGTCAAAAAGTAATGTTGGGATACAGACAGAACTTCACAATTTCCTGTGATTGACAGCATTATCCCTACATGTTAAAAAAAGTTAAGGCAGCCGTCACTTCAGATTTCATTATGGCTAAGGAAGAATGGGCTGAGGAAACCAGAAGATAATTGGTGTGAAAGTGATTATGACATGGTAGCATGCACTGTTTGGAGAAGAGGAAGAGGTGAGAAAAGGTCAGTGGGGATAACAGACAGCAATAAAAAGATTTCACAACTTTAGAAAACTAGTAGTGATTTTGGAAAGATAATGCAGTAAATAAAGGATGGCAAAATATCTGTGGAATTCTGTTAAGATTGTCATGATTCCAATGGGTTAACTTCAGAACCTGAAATCAGAGATGAACTCTAAAGAAAAAATGTTGAGAAGAAAAAGGGAGGAGTGTAAAGGTGTACCAAAGTAAGTGACTATAAAATGAGGCTGTGGTTCAGAATGAGTCATACTAGGTATCACAAAAAGTAACCAGAAAACATTTAGGTACAGCAGAAGATAAAGGAAAGTATAAGATGATTACTCGATGGCAAAATGAGGTTCTAATGTTTTTACATTCAAACATTTTTTACATTTACAGTTCCTTGATGCTGACTTTGTACAAACTATTAATTATAACCAGACTGTTAAAAACATATTGTAGTAGACCCAGTTTATTTACAAAAATCTGAGGCACTCCACCAGATGTGATTCAATATAGAGAAGTGCCGAGTATTTTGCATGTGGCTGCAAAATGTGGTATAGTTGGTG